GTGAGCAGCTATTTCCAACAACAAATCTACGGATGAAAACTGATTTTTCTCCTAAAATTTCATTCTTATCATGCATTGACAAAACTGAAATGCAAGTATTCACACACACACACATATGTGGAGTGGTGAATTAAATACTTGCAGTTGCTTAGAGGTAAAAAACACTGAAAACTTCGGTGATAAAGGAAGCAGGAGCTCCGTATTTCTCTAAGAAACCATTTTAGTTTCTTGCATTTTATTATGCATTTCTGTTATGAGGAAATAAGTGGATGGTTTTTTGTATTATTTCTAAGAGCGCAACAAAACGCTGCCTTTTAGAAACTCAGGGTTATGATTCTGACCTGTGTGTAAAGTATTTGTGTAATTTCTGATTATGTAAATAATCTGAGGTATCTGTGACAGATGGAACAGAGGTCGCTGAAGGGAGGAACATTAACCATAAACTGAGGCAAATCTTTATTTCTGCTGCTCTTAAGTTTTCTTTTTTTTTTTTTTTTAAGGAAATTCTGTTTTGTGGTAGGTCAAAGATTAAATCTTAACTTTCCTTTTCGAAATTCTCAAGACTAGTAATTAGTTTTGGCAAAAAAAGCACAAGTAGCTACAAAAGCATTCAAATGGACTTTTTGGGAACATAATTAACAGTTCAAATGAGCGGATTTTAATAACTGCCACTCTTCTGGAAGACTGTAGCGTGGATATAGTGGTAAAAATAATTGCTAATAGGAAGTTTCCAGTAGAGTTCCTGTGAAATTTAGGCTCCTGGTTACATTTCCACTTGTGAGGAATTCCACTGGCTTTAGTGAGCTGTTCCTGCAGAGAGCAAAGAGCCTCTCTGGAGCAGCTGTCCCTGTTTCAGTAGTTTGTGCTTCTTTGGTGCCAATGCTCACTTCAGTTTGCATTCCCACACCTGACTGGTTGCCTGGGGCATATTCCCCTAAAAATGCCAGTTTTTCCTCATTCTGTATGTGATGTGTCTGTGGTATTTTGTTTCTTTTGTACTCTTGTCACTTTTATAAAAGCTGTGGACTGTGGCATGGAGCTCTGTGGGGTTTTTTGTTTGTTTGTTTGTTTG